TGCTTTGAGGCTCAGTTACCTGTTCACTGGTTTCTAACTGACAGTAAAAAATATTAGCTTAGCACAGTGGTTCCCAAACTTTTTCTTCTGCGCCCCCCCAGTGGTTTCCAAATATTTTCTGCGCCCCCCTATGGATTACAAATGGCTGTCTGGTTGAAGACGCGTGTGACTTGGGGGGGTAGGAGGGGAGGGGGTCGACTTTTTTGGGGGCAAAATGAATGTACGTAGCTGAAAACAGACACCAACATCAGTAGCCTACAAGGTACTTGTTAAGCTTAAGGTTCTGTATTGATATTAGCTAGTCATCTTTTAGCTAACATTACCTGCATCCAGCAGCTTTACTCAACTCAGTCGGTTAGTTTGGAGGGAAAAACTGTGAAAAGTTCTTTGCGTTTTGCTGGTTTGCTGCCGTGATTCTAACACAACCCTACGTAGCTCCGCACAGCAGCAGCAGGTCTCCTTCACAGGTGGAAACCCAGCGCGAGCGTCGTAGCGCTCGTGTTGCGTTTAAAGGCGGCTCGGAAAAACAGGTTACAACATGTTAACAACGGACAGTTTTAACTGTTGATAAAAGTGACAGAGGACACAAACATGGGAAGTGTGGAAGCCTCTACTGTATCAAATTGACATAGGAATAACAGAGAGTTGGCCATTCTAAGGTAAAAACCCAGCGCATTCAGTGTTCATGTTTTGTTTTTTTTTCATCCAGACGGCTTCCCGCGCCCCCCCTGCAATGACACGGCGCCCCCCCCGTAGGGGGCGCGCCCCACAGTTTGGGAACCTCTGGCTTAAGGAATGATGACAATAAAATATTGATTCTTAAAGGGAGTGTACTATGCAAAATTCACATTTTGTACACTTTTGTACTTTCATTTGAGGTTCTTCTGCTACTAAAAACAGTGCTTAAAAAGGTGATATTTCATAATCTAAAAATGATTTTATACAAAAAAAAAACAAAACAAACATATTTTGTACAGCCCATAGACCAATCCTGAAAATTTTCCTGGAAAAATCTTGACTTTTGGAATAAATGTCTCTCTGTCAGATGAAGTCAGGTTTCATTCGCCTTCAGGCGGTCTGCAGGTCCAGGAAGTACTACAGAAGCTACCGGATCACTCGCTGCCGCATCACCCTCATCCAAGCCCGCTGCCGGGGCTTCCTTGTCCGGCAAACCTTCTGGAGACGCCTCCGAGCCGTGTTGACCCTCCAGGCCTACACCAGAGGCATGATAGCCAGACGCCTCTGCCAGAGGCTCAGGGCCGAGGTAAATGGTTACTACATTTACTACTGCTACCTACACCTCATTGACCTGCCAGAAAGACATGGAGACTGGCTGTGAGGGAGTGCCTGTTAATAAATATTTGAATATTTGTATACATTTATAACAGAATTACACTAGGAAGGAGCAGAGGCCTGTGTGAAAGCTATCCTTCCCTTTTCATATCAGCCAGTAGCATCAAAGACCTGGTCATGTTTTGGTTCAATGTTGCTGCCAACATTCCCCGTTTCTTCTTCTTCTATCCAGCTGTCATTCTTTCTGTTGCGGGAATGACCAGAATAGGTGCTACAATACAGACATTTATGTTTTGTAACTTATAATTTACTCCTTTGCCAAATATTTTTTTATAAATTAATCCAGTTTTAACTGTTAAAATTGTGTCTTGAAAACCTGAATTTAAAGAAAAAATCACATTATTACTATAAAACATACAGGTTTTATTTCTATAGGAAATACTGCCTCATATGTAATGTTATTAAAATTAGATCAATAAAGGCATTTAAACAATGTTTGGGCTGCAACTAACAATTATTTTTGTCATTGATTATTCTTATGATTAATTGAGTAATATAATAATATAGTAAGAAATAATTTGCACATTGTGCAGATTTTTCATTTAACCAACCTATTTTATACAATATTTGAAATACTTAAAATGCCATAGTGTATACTTGATCATTTGTTGTAAAGGATACAACTATAGCTGAAAAATACTTCTAACATCCAGATGTGAAAAGCTCAGTTCTTTCTGAGCCACTGACCATCAATTGAATTAATCATGTCTCATTTGCCTCCTAATTTAGTAATAACAAATCTACTATTTAAAATGATGTCCTACTGCAGAGAAAATAATTAACATTTTCAGACTTAAACATACGTTTGATGATGTTGAAAGGTTTATTAGTCTAAAAACTAAAGCATCATGCCTCTCAGATGTTTTGTTATACATTTCATTATACAGTCATTGTATTGAGTCATATCTGACAGAGATGCTCTGTCGTTTGTGTTTATGGGTTGAGGAACAGGAGCAAGACCTGATATAATTTTCTAACAGCAACATATCTGCAAATCGGCATGACTACAATATTTTTATCCTCAAATGTCCAGTGGTTGTGGGAAGCACAAGGAATGTTTTTGGTTGATTTACTAAAATAATCCATTTTAATTTTGCAAACTAAATATTGAGCTCGATTTACATGCTTACTTGCTTATTTATTTTTAATCTTAAATTAATTTATGTTATGATGTAAACTAATTCATTTTGAATTTGTTTAAATCTGCTTTTTTAAAAACTATGGAGCAGTTAAGTATAAATTGGCTTATTCTTGATAAACATGAATACAAGCGAAGGTTCTTGAGTGCCCTCTACTGGCCTGGGGGCCTTAATAAGTGGCACAGTTTGCTTATGCCTCTGGCTGGCTCTCCTTTATAAATGAAAACAATGGTGTTCATTGAAAATTAGCTGGAGCAGCATTTGCTTCACATCATTATTACTATTATTATTATTGTTTTGTTCTCACTTGCTTTGTATTTTTGTTTTTATATTGATTTATTGTGGGTTTATCTTTTTTGCTTCCTCATCCTTGTGTGTTGCCCTTGGAAACGTGATGTCAGAAAGTATAACTACTATTACCTGTGGGCCTTAAATGATTCTGCTGTGTTCTGTTTGTGTTTTGTTAAACAAATAAAATTGTCTTTGGAAAAGAAAAGATTAAAGGTTTACCATTTTGATATGTATTCACTGTTTATTAATTCAACTACTGTGGACTCCAAGCAGCGTATCAAAGCTGCTCAGACACATGTCCGCTAGATTACAACAAAATAAAAGTCATGAGTTGAATCAACTACGCTGGACTTCATAAAGGGGGATCAACATAATTCATCCTGCAGTAAAACTCATAATTATTTCTAGATACAAGTTTTGATTGTATTTGTTTTTTTGTTTTTGTTTGTTTGTTTCTACAAATCTTTTTTTTTTAATTACATCATTTTTTTAAGTTTCAAAGACTTGTAGTTTCTGTTCCGTATAATTTCGGAATATAAAGAAATTATAATTTTTGTTCTACAACATTTTCATGATTATAAATAAAATGTGGCTATAAATTATACAAAAAATAAAATATTTATTCTTATTTGTAATACTACTAATAATTACTATTCAGTGTGTTTGCACCTCCTTAAATGTCTTAAAAACTAAGTTGGCCTTAAATATGCTAGTCACAGTTCTATTTAATTTTGTATATTCTACATGTCTTTATTATTACTGTTATTATTAATGTTATTATTTATTATTTATAATAGTAGAAAAAAGTAGTAGAGCAAAATAAGCAACAAATAAGGAGGGCTTTTTAATTGAAACTAAACAATAACCAAACTTAACCAAACTTTTTCTTTGAGTTTTGAATAAGTCAGGAAACAGCTGCAGTTTTAACGTCTTCGAATGTGAACCGTGTTTTTCTGCTTTCTCATCTTAAAGCGTCAGCGGCGCCTGGAGGCTGAGCGGCAGCGCCTGGCTGAGGAGGAACAGCTCCGGAACCAGATGACGGTCCGGCGGGCCAAGGCAGAGGCCGAGAGGAAGCACCAGGAGCGGCTCTTCCAGTTGACCCAGCAGCAGGAGGAGCGGGAAAGGGAGGCGAAGGAGGAGGCGCGCAGGAAGAAGGAGCTGCTTGATCAGATGGAGAGGGAGAAAGAGCAGCCTGTCGACCACTCCGACATGGTGGACCGGATGTTTGGTTTCCTCGGGGACTCCGGACCGCTCCCGAACCAGGATGGACAGGCGCCGGCTGGGTTTGAAGTACATGTTCATGGTTTGATTAAATTTCTGCCAGAAAACTCAGAAATTTTGATATTAATTTTCCAGAAATGACAAGGACATTTCTGAGCTCCAAAAGTCAAAAATTTGCAATAAAAAATACAGAATTCGTAAGATTAGTCTTAGAGATTTTCAAGAAAATACTTGGAAATTTCTGAGCTCCAAATTGAAAATTTGCAAGGAAAAACTCATTTCAGATTTTTTTTTTTGGTCAGAAATTTGTTCTGTTTTTTTTTGTTTTTTTCTTTATCTACGTACAGTGAACCTAATATGCCGTCATACGTCTAAGCTTCGGTGAAAGTTAGATAAAATTATTCAAATACAAAGAAATGTACCTGAAGCATCATTTAATCAATCAATCAATCAATCAATCACAATCAATCACTATTTAATCAATCACATTGACTGATTTGGTGGTTGTGAGCAACCTTTAACTTTATTTAAACTCAGTGAAAACCATTTGATGCATTGTACCTGATGTGAGTTAGTTTGTTGCTAACTCACATCTGCAGAAGTCAAGATAAGAAAAGAAAGCCTGAGAATAGTGAAGAATTGAGTTAAGAATATCCTCTAAAATGTAAAAAAAAAAAAACAACAACCATTATTAAACAACATCATTGCATACATGTATTACCTTACCAAACTATAAAACCCATAACACCAAAAATGGTTGTGGGTTTCACATGTTCTCCATATTAAAATAATTTCCTTGTTTTTTTATCCTGATAGTAAATCTTAGTATCGAGGTTCTGAAAGTGACGTCCCACTTTTCTGTGCTCCCTCAGGATTTGGAGCAAACTCCTCGCGGTGAGGAAGCAGAAGAAGAGATGCTGAATGAAGCTCCGCCATTACCCGACGAGGAAGAGGAAGATCTGTCCGATTACAAGTTCTCCAAGTTTGCCGCCACCTACTTCCAGGGTCTTTCCACTCACACCTACATCAGGCGGCCGCTGAAGCAACCGCTGCTGTTTCACGAGGACGAAGGAGACCAGCTAGTGAGTTTCAGCTTCTGATTAGATTGTAGTAAAGAAACAAGCCGTAGGGGGCGGCCATGTTTGTTTTCAGTTCAGGGTGGAGCAGAAATGTGAACAGAAATAGTTCTGGCGTGCGTGGAAAATTGTGTGCATGTTGTTAATTCATTTTATTTATATTGAGCCAATTCAGAAAAGATGTCATTTCAAGTCACAACATAAACAGTTAAAAGTTGTATCCAATTATATAGAAAAACGTGTAATAAATAAGTCAAATTCTTGCAGATTCAGTTGTACAGACAGATTGAATCAAATAAAGTTTGATTTGATCATAGTTAGAGTATAATGCAGTTAGAAATCTAACTTTTCTTGTTTAAATTATGTAACACTTAGGGAAATCTTTTATTTTTTTAAATTTATGGTTTATCCAGACTGACCCAAAAGGGTCAATATATCATATTTATTTTATATTTTATGGCTATTAGAAACCAGGATGAAGGGGAATCACAGCTAAGTGGTAGATGTCAGTGTTTCCCTCATATCCCTGGTGCAAACAGCAGAATAAATAAAATATAAAACTAAAAAATATGCAATCAAAACAAAATACCTCTGAAAAACATGATAAATAATGTAGGGTGCTTTATCCAAGAACATTCATGGAAAATTTTGTGGAAGAAAAACATTGTGATTGAAAAATTGTCACACGAGAGTACCCTGTGATGAGCTCATCAAAGATCTGATTAAAACCTCTTTTTCCATGTCTTCCAGGCTGCGTTAGCTGTGTGGATTACTGTGTTGAGGTTCATGGGTGACCTGCCAGAACCAAAATGCCAGATAGTCATCAACGACGGCAGTGAGAAGATCCCCGTCATGACCAAGATCTACGAAACCCTCGGCAAGAGGACCTACAAGAGGGAGCTGCAGGAGCTGCAGGTGGAGGAAGAGGTGAGGCAGTGCTGCTCAGCGTCTTATCGCTTATTTTCTGAGAAGGAAACTTGATCCACTTTTGTCTCTACAGAACAGCTCCATAGAGTCTCAGAAGAGGAACAGCGTCAGACATAAGCTGGTGTCTCTAACTCTGAAGAGGAAATCAAAGATAACAGAAGAGGTCAGGTTTGTTCATGTTTACAAACTGGATTAGGGTTAATTCAGTGGTAAAAATAAAGGCATTATGGGTAAAATCTACAGAACCCTTCGAAGAAGATGTTTTGGTTCTATGTAATGGATGCAAGTTATCGATTGAATTCATGTAAAACTGATCTTATTGACTGACTAACGATTAATTAAAAAGCATCTATTTTCTTAAAACCTTCAGGGTTATTTTGCATAAAGGGACCAGCGTTCCACCAAAAGTCTTAGTTACAAAAGTCAAGCATTTTCAACTTTTTAAAATCAGAAAATTTACAAAAGTCAAAAATGTTAGGGTAGGGTTAACCCTAACCCTAACCCTTTCAACAACAATTTTTAGATTAATCTTAAAATGATTTTCTTTTTTTTCTGGTACATTTTTGACTTTTCAAACTCAGAAATTTTCAAGTTTTTTTCTAAAGAAATTCCGAGTTTAATCTCAGGGTTTTTTTGTGGAAATGTTCTCCTTTTTCATGGAGTGGGATGTTTCATAATAAGCTGAATTCAAAAAATTTACTGTAATTTTCAACACTTTTTTATGTCCGCTGTATTAAATACTAACTAAATAAGTAGAAAATTGTGGTTTGCTCACACTATAAAACTAGGACATATTTGTGAAATATAACATAACAAAACAGGAACTTCTAAGGTTGCTGAGTAGAAAAATAACAGATGACATTAATGAAAAATGTTAAACACACAGTATCGTCTGTTGCTCTTGAAGGAATGTTAAAACTTCTCTCCATGAAGTGCATCAACTCACAGCAGTCCTCAAAATCAACCTTCCTTAGTGACATCATGTGTTTTTTCCATCATGTTGCGATTTCTCAGTTTTGCCCTCAGGTTTTCTGTCATGACATCCTCGCCTTTGTAGCACTTCAATAATTTTTGATTGAGAAATTGTCAATCCTCCGTCTTACAGCTCGGCTGAATGAGTGCCATTGAAGTGATAACTTAAGGAGTTTGTAGAGTGTTTATTTTTCTAAACATAACCACTTAAAGTGCATTTTGCATCCCAAACTAGCCACTGTTTGGGCTGTTTCTCTTTACCTTCTGGAAAGTTCACCATCCCTTGACTTACCAGTGATGCCCTCTGTTGGACGGTGATCAAACTGAAACACTAAAAGAAGGTCTAAGTGCCCTTCATTAGTGAATCGATTGGAACTAATTTTAATCTAACAATCTACTAATAAACAATTACAGTGTTAATACTTTATTTTCACAATTTATCCTCCAGTAAAAGTCTTTCACTCCTTTATTTACCTCATCCGGAAGCTTTAAAGCTGAAAGTTTTTCCCTCTATCATCTGTAGGTCACCAGGCGGCTGACAGAGGGCATGGACTACAGCCTGCAGGGCAACAGCATGCTGGAGGATCGACCCACCTCCAACCTGGAGAAGCTCCACTTCATCATCGGAAACGGCATTTTACGGCCAACGCTCAGGTTCGCAGAGCAGATCCAAAGCCTTAGTGGTGTTGACAACCAGCTGCAGTTTGGTAGACACTGACAATGTGTCTTCTGATATTCTAAGTTACATTAGAATATTTAACTTAGAATATGGCTTGTTAAGTCAAGCCATTTTCTTGACTTAACATAACATAAATCTTTTTTTTTATGTGAAAATAAAAACACCAACTGGTTTTGCACTGAAGCCCAGCTGTTGTTTGGGTGGTGCGGGTATGGATGATATATAATTATCCCCCAGTGTGTAATGATGGGTTGTTAGGTCATGCACATGTGTTCAAACAGGACTGATTTGTGAGAATTTGGATGCAAAAACTTATAGCAGTAATGTCCCAGAATTGCATCATTTACTCTCAAAAAAAGCTACATTCAGTTTCTGAATCTGCATCTGCTGTAAATAAGCAGAATCATCCTAGTTGTTGTTGTTTGTGTTAAAAAAAATCCAAAAATGAAAAATATTTTTAGCAGAAATAGTTTTAAACCATAATATTAAAGTTGAAGAATTTAAAAATAAGGACACAGAATATTTTACAAAAAAAAAATCAATAATTGGTTAAAAAAAATATTAAAATACATTTAAAGCTGAATGTCTGATCAGCTTTAAGTGAACTCTGGAGTTTATATAGAATTGATTTATTATTGAGAAATGGCTGCATTGCTTTAAGACTTAAACACTCTTTCTCCAAACTCCAGGAGGAAAACAAGATCCACCAGTTCTGACTGAAGTGTCAGATACTGTGTGTGTGAGTGTGTGTGTGTGTTGTATTCATTCATCTCTGCTGCAGGGATGAGATCTACTGTCAGATCTGCAAACAGCTCACTCAGAACCCATCCAAAAGCAGCCATGCCCGGGGATGGATCCTCCTGTCTCTCTGTGTCGGCTGCTTCGCTCCGTCCGAGAAGTTTGTCAAAGTAAGAATGTTTAAGGGGAAATCATTTTATTCTCATTTTACTGGTGTTTTTTTTTGTAATCAATATTTAATGTGAAAAATATGGACTATAGTTTAGACGTTTGAAAGAAAACATAACTCTTATTTGTTTGTTTTCCTGAGAAAATGCCAATTGAAGCATTTTAAAAAATAAAATGTATAAGTTTAAATAGTTTCTTTTATTTTCCAATGGCACATAGGGCATTTAGGAGTGAGAAAATATAAAAGAGAAAAAATCTGTCCTTCCCAGCAGTGTGTTTGATAAAAATGTTTTTTCTGCTGTGTGGTCAGTATTTACGAACCTTTCTGAAGAACGGTCCTCCTGGTTACGCTCCGTACTGCGAAGAGAGGCTGAGGAGGACGTTTGCAAACCGCACACGAACCCAGCCGCCATCCTGGCTGGAGCTGCAGGTATAGACCTTCATGTCTCACTTGTAGCCCAAACCGCATAAAGCTTCCTGCTCAGCTTCTCTGGGATTTGGGAAAATCTGTATGTCTTATAGGAATTAGGTGGTTTTAAAAGAAAAAAATCAGGTTTTAAAGACATAATTTTAACAGTTAAAACTCCATAAGTTTTTTTAATGAATGCTGTTATTGCATTTAAGACAATAAAATGTTTATTTTGTATTTAAAAAGTTATTAGTTTATTTACATCTTTTAATGCATTTCTAATATTCGATAAAAGGCTTAGGTGTTTAAATGAAAAATCTACAGAATGTGGCCATTTTTTATCTGATTAATCAATACAGTAATCCATTACTAAGATCATTGCTAGGTGCAGCGCTGTCGTAAAGTTTATAAACAGAATAAATCAGAACCAACATAACAGAGCTGCTCCAACATGCTTCTAGTGTTGCTTAGTTAGTATAATTAGCGAGTTTCTGTGTGTTTTGTTTCCTTGAGGCGACCAAGTCCAAGAAGCCCATCATGCTGCCGGTGACGTTCATGGATGGCACCACCAAGACGCTGCTGGCGGACTCTGCCACTACGGCCTTCGAGCTCTGCAATGCCCTGGCGGACAAGATCAACCTGCGCGACCGCTTCGGGTTCTCCTTGTACATCGCTCTGTTCGATAAGGTATGGCCCGAAATGTCCCCATGATGTCATCCACTGCGGCGCCGCCACTGACGGACGCGTGTCTCCGTCAGGTGTCGTCTCTGGGCAGCGGCAGTGACCACGTCATGGATGCTGTGTCGCAGTGCGAGCAGTATGCCAAAGAGCAGGGTGCCCAGGAAAGGAACGCCCCCTGGAGGCTGTTCTTCAGGAAGGAGATCTTCAGCCCCTGGCACGACCCCACGGAGGACTACGTCGCCACAAACCTGATTTACCAGCAGATCGTCAGAGGAGTGAAGTTTGGAGAGTATCGCTGTGAGAAGGTCAGCAGCCACAATCTCTGAGACGAAGCAGATAGATGTTTGGGTAACACTTTATTTGAAGGGGGGTGAATAAGACTGTCATGACACTTTAATAAACATGACCTAACCCCTGTCATGAGCATGAATAAGCCTTCATGAATACTTATGACTGTTGTCATAAAGCGTCATTTGGTAAATTATGACACTTTTAATACAAAGTTGACATTATGCAAAATGTCTTTATTATGACAACTTGACATTAACCAAGAAATCATTACTGTTTAAACTTTACCTTTAATAATATAAAGTTACCTCATTTTTAAAGTGCAATCAGTAATACTTTTATAACAAATTTATATCAGTAATGATTTCTTGGTTAATGTCAAGTTGTCATAACAAAGACATTTTGAATAATGTCAACTTTGTATTAAAAATGTCATAATTTACCGAATGACGCTTTATGACAGCAGTCATAAATATTCATGAAGGCTTATTCATGTTCATGACAGGTGTTATGTCATGTTTATGACAGTGTCATGTCAGTCTTATTCACCCCCCTTCAAATAAAGTGTTACCGATGTTTGAGAGTTCCTCATATCTTCTGCTGTTTTTACAGTGAAAATTAACTTTCAGGGACATTTTGAGAGATTTAAATGTGATCATTTTAGTAACTTGATTCAAAATGCATTATGTAGTTATACATTTCAATATTTGTTTTTCATGTCTGACGAAGGAAGTCTGATTTTTAATCCAGTAGACACTCATTGTCGCCCTCCATGAAAAGACTAACAACTTGATCGTTAGATAAGCATTACATGCAGAGAGCTGTATCCAAGCATATTAATGGAAAGTTGAGTGGAAGAAAAATGTGCAGAAGTAACAGGTATAACAGTGAAGAAGCATCAGAAACTTCTTACCTGGGCTATGAAGTCCTTGTTTCATTGTGACATCCTTTAGTGATGCAGTAACTCATGCATAAGGAGCCCAAACCAACTGCTCAGTCCGTATACTTTCAGCATATGGACATACTCTTTATTAATTTTAACACATACTTGTGTTAAAATTAGGGCCAGGACCATAACACATTAATTTTGATATATTAATTACACAGATTTTTAAAAGTAATTAATTACTTTTTTGTTGTTGTTGTTTTACATACAAAAAAAAGAGGTTCCAATCAGAATATGTTTCTAGCACGCTTGTAAATCTGACGCACAAATGACATCCGCTAACATCAGCGATGGATGATAAAGCTACTTTTCTTGATCCATTTTTGAAATATTTGCTTCAAAAATTAGTCTGATGGGATGCTGAAAAGTCTATTGTTGTGCTAACAGGGGTTAGTTTATCAGTGACACTATTCAAGCCTAAAATAGCTTCTCAATACAAAACATGTAGCATTACACATGCTAATGCTAATGTCAGCGTCCACAGTTCACATTTCTAAAGAAGTTCCTTGAATGATCAGGAGATTCTGAAACACTTAAAAATTTAACTCCAACATAATGGTTAAATAACTAATAACAGATTAAAAACAGCAAATATCTTTGTTGTTGAGCTCATTCAATAATTTATCAGCAAAAGGGGTTTTAAATTGAAGATTTTGACAGTTTATAGTTTTTTATTAAAATTACAGACCTTCCAGTTAAATTCAGCTTTTGGTTGGTCTAATGCGATATCCTAACATTCCAAGATACTCAATTTTAAGTTCATTTGCCACAATGAAACATTAACAGAAATCAGCCCCAAAAATACTCTGTGCTGCCAAAAGTACAACCCACTCCTAATGTTTAGGGCTTAATGTGATGTTAGTCTACCTGGTGCAGCTGGAAAGGTGTTGAAATTGATGATAAAAAATTGTCCAAATAGTTTTTCTGTCCTGAAGCATTAAGTGTTCCTTTCACTTGCCTGTTGATCCCACTCACTTTCTCTGTGTTATGATACTGCTAACAATGAACTGTGGAGAATCTAGCAGTGAAGAGCACAGGCACCATGCAGGACTTCACTGAGCTCCTGAGAGTATTTTAGTACCTGCATAAGAACAGATTTTCAGGTCATATTAAACATTTTTGTTTAAACTGCGTCCATCCTCTGCAGGAGGAAGATCTGGCTGAGCTGGCCTCTCAGCAGTACTTTGTGGACTATGGCTCTGAGATCCTCCAGGAGCGCCTGCTCAGCCTCATCCCGTCCTACATCCCCGACAGAGAAGTCACCTCGACTAAGACTGCAGAGAAGTGGGCTCAGCTCATCATCAACGCCCACAAAAAGGTACCTGCTAAACTGCTCACTCTGAAAGGAGATAAACATAGACAGAACTGAGCAGACGAAAATCTCATTATCTAAAAGGAACATGTTTTATATAACCCTAACCTGTTCAGAGGAACATAATAGGTCACCTTTAAAACAACAAATCTTTGGTTTTATTTCTCACCGTTGAGCGATGGTGACTCACTGCATCTCCTCCTGCAGGGATTATACCACAAAAGGAGGCTGAACACTCAGAAGGTGAGGGAGGATGTTGTGGATTTCGCTCGGTTAAAGTGGCCTTTACTCTTCTCACGTTTCTACGAGGCCTTTAAATTCTCAGGTAAGGAGGTCAGGTTATTCTTATCTATGTTTCAGAAACACAGGAGTGGTGTTGATGATTTTAAATGGATATAATTGTCTGCTACAGGGCCCAGTCTGCCAAAGAATGATGTGATTGTGGCGGTGAACTGGACTGGGGTTTACTTTGTGGATGAGCAGGAGCAGGTTCTTCTGGAGCTGTCGTTCCCAGAAATCACAGCCGTGTCCAGCAGCAGGTAGGAGAATAGCTTATCCAATTAAATGTCAGAATGATTGATTAATTCTCAGAATAATCGATTTCGAATATAATTGTTAGTTGCAGCCCTACCATGTTCTTGAAGCTGTTGCTATGGAAATCACTTTAAAGTTTAAACTTTCATTGTCCAGAGGAGGAAAACTGCAAGGTCAGAGTTTCACACTCGCCACCATCAAAGGAGACGAGTACACCTTCACCTCCAACAACGCGGAGGACATCCGGGACCTGGTGGTCACCTTCCTCGAAGGTCTGAAGAAGAAGTCCAAATATGTGGTGGGACTGCTGGACTGTCCAAACCCTGGTGAGCTTCAGGATCGGTCTGGGGGAAGGTTCTGCTGTCCTGAACCGAGCTGTGACTCTCGCTGTGACCTCTGTCCTGCAGCTGGCGTTGACTCCACCTTCCTGAGCTTCTGTAAGGGGGATCTGATAATCCTGGATGAACATGACGGAGAACATGTGATGAACTCCGGCTGGGCGCACGGGGTCAACGACAGGACCAAGCAGAGAGGAGACTTCCCTGCCGACTGCGTCTACGTGCTGCCCACCATCACCAGGCCGCAATACGACATCGTGGTAAGAGCCAGTCATCAAGGTGAACGACTTTAACGCTCAGTCTGAACTTACTATGGTTCTGTTCCATCCTGGAACAGCGCCGCTCATGGTGGCATCATGCTGGACAAGCTCTGTTAGTTCTGATTTGTTCTTCTTGTAGATTTTGTTCATAAAATATTGCACAACTAAAAGTTGGCATAGGGACAAACTTTGAAAAGTGAGACACACAAAGAACACTGTATGTGAAGAACCATGCATACACTGCAAAAACTCAAGGACCTCTTACACAGAATTCATGTTTTGCACGTTTTTGTACTTCTATTTGAGTTTTTGGCAAGAAGTTAATGTTTTTTGGTGTCTGGAATAAGAGTCATTTAAAAAAACCTTCCAATTGTTAAGTCACATCAGTAGGCACTGCCATTCACCTGGCAACCCCAGCAGAGTTCCACCCGTTACCTAGCAACCAAAGCTAAGCTCCACCATTTTTGGTCAGTTGGTTTGTGTGAAAAATGTATTGAGCATGTTTTGTTTAGGCCATAGGCCTATCAAAACCTGTTAAAAGAAACATAATAACTCACCTTTAACTTGAGAATCTAATCCTGACCCTGGATATTTTTTTTAGAAATTACATAATGTGTAATAATTACCTTCCTCAGTCTAAATCTTGTCATTTTATTCTTTTTTATCCTAACCTGCCTGTTCTGGTCTCAGGCTCTAGTGACGATGACTCCTGATCAGAGGAGGGAGTCTCTCAGTTTGTCTCAGATAAGTCTTTCTGAAAAGGACAAATCCAAGGCCTACACCCTGGAGGAGTTTTCCTACGACCACTTCAGGTGCCCGACCAACCAAATGCCTCTCACAGAATGGGTTGGGTGCTTGCTTTAACCTTTAACCTCTCCAGGCCGCCTCCGAAGAGCACCCTGAGCCGAGTGATGATGTCCAAAGCTCGAGGGAAGGAGCGACTGTGGAGCTGCGTCAGGGAGCCTCTCAAACAGCCGCTGCTGAAGAAAGTCCTGGCGCACGACGAACTCTCCCAGGAGGCCCTTCTGGCCTTCATAGATATCCTTCGCTTCTCACATTAATCACATCACACTTAAATACAACAGAAATTAATTAGAACAATTATTTTTAAACTACTTCAAGGTTCGTAGAGTAAGAAAAGACTGAAGGAAATTCACTGCAAAAATGCAAAGTCTTCCCAGGTATTTCTGGTCTAGTCCAAACATCTTGGTACACTTAAAATAAGACAAAACTAACTCATAAGTAACTTTTCAGAAAGATATAGAAACTTGTTTTAATATTATTTTTGTTTCTCTAACAGTTGAGTTTTGCAGCATATCTCACATTAAATGTGGATTTATTACAGCCAATTAAAAATCAGCATTTTATCAGGTGTGTTGAGTGTTTCGGATTCGATGTGTCGTCTCTGCACCTGTGTGGTTTTTTTCCCTGACCGTATCCGTACCTGTGATGAAATACATGGGTGACTACCCGTCCAAACGGGCTCGGTCCGTCAACGAGCTCACCGATCAGATCTTTGAAGGAGCGCTGAAGGCGGAGCCGCTGAAGGATGAAATCTACTGCCAGATCCTCAAACAGCTCACAGACAATCACATCAAGTTAGTAAATCTCAACTGAAGGCCAGCGATACGTTTATTTCTCTCAGTCTGCCCTGTCAGCTGATGCTGTTGTTTCTCTGTGAAGGTTCAGTGAGGAGAAGGGCTGGGAGCTGCTGTGGCTCTGCACTGGTTTGTTTCCTCCCAGTAACATCCTGCTGCCCCACGTCCAGAAGTTCCTCCAGGCCAAGAAGCACTTCCCGCTGGCGCCAGACTGCATGCAGCGGCTGCAGAAAGCCCTGCGGTACCACATGGCTGCTCTTCCACCCCATCCTTGTTTTCCCTCTTGCTTCATCTCTCCTCTTCCTCCTGATTTGTGCAGAAACGGATCCAGGAAGTACCCTCCTCACCTGGTGGAGGTGGAGGCCATCCAGCACAAGACCACGCAGATTTTCCACAAGGTTTACTTCCCTGACGACTCAGATGAGGTCAGAGGCGACTCGGGTTCAAAACATTTGTTGGAAAACTGGAACCGTCTGAACTGAAAGATCTAAACTTTGTTCAGGATTTGCTTTATTAAAAAATTATTGTAAAACTTTTCAAAAAATTGCAGAAAATTCTCAGTTTTGCTTTGATAAAATGTAAAATAAGTGTTTTACAAAATAAAACACTTGTTATTCTTTCTTAAATTGAAGAGAAAAGAAAACTTGGCTACAGATATATCTACATGTTGTTCCTTAACTTCCTCTAATATTTCTGTATTTGCACTGCTTATCTGTAAACTGTGCACACGTGGAACCAAATGGCAAATTTTTGATCATTTTTGGTAAACAAACGTTTTCTTTGGTTTTCTTGTGATCTCAGGTGTTTGAAGTGGAGTCGAGCACGAAGGCTAAAGATTTCTGCCACAACATCTCCGGTCGACTGATGCTCAAATCCTCCGAGGGCTTCAGTCTCTTTGTAAAGATCACAGACAAGGTGAGGAGACTGCAACAAAGTAGAGATTTGTTTTTTAATCATGAGAATATTGTCATAATCTTAGTAGAATAAATATTACCAGAAGATAGTTGGAAAATTACTAGGAACAAGCTTCTTTTTTTCCTCGTATAATTACAACTTCTTGTGATATGACATTTTTGTCATATGACATTATTGTATAACTAAGAAATTTTTTCTGGTAATATTATGACTTTTCTCATAATGTTGACTATTTTGTTATTACAACTTTATTCTCAAATTATTAGGTCATATTCTGGTAATATTCAGACTTTTATTATCGTAATATTGCAGCTTTATTTTTGTATGATTTTTTTTCTCAGAATATTGACTTTATTCTCATAATAACATTTTTTATTTCTTAGCCTGGTCCTACAGTTTGTGTCCTAATAAAATAAAATAAAATATCAACATTTAGTTGTTAGATGTGGACTAAATATCAGCGGCGTAGTGAGTGAGATTTACATTTAAGAAAATCTGAAGCCTTTCCAGTTCCTTCAGTCCTTTTCTCTTTAAATATTAAATATGTATCTTTTGCTTCTTTGTAAAAAGATTCACCTCTCTCATTTTCTTTTGTTTTCAGGTCATCAGTGTGCCAGACGGCGACTTTTTCTTTGACTTTGTGAGGCATCTGACTGACTGGATCAAGAAAGCGAGACATGGTAACGGAGGTGGACAGCTGCTCTCGTCTCTGAAGCTCAGACTGTTTGAGCATCTCTGACTCTTCCTGCAGGCTCTACAGGCGCGGTGCCTTCATTGACCTATCAGGTGTTCTTCATGAAGAAGCTGTGGACCAACACGGTGCCAGGAAAAGACTCCATGGCCGACTCCATCTTCCATTACTATCAGGTGCTTTCAGAAACGTTTCAACAGGACATTAAACATAATTAATGTGTCTACTCAACACAGTTCTTCAGAAAACTTGAGGCTAAGATGTAAAAATATGGATTCTATTTCTATCCCTGGAGGATTTCATATTTAATTTGTGTTCAGTTTATAACTCACATAAAGTAGAATATTGTGAAAAATGTCATTATTAGCTCTCATTTCAGAAATTAAAGCTCAAATATTAGAGTAAAATATTTTAAGCCTTTATTTCTTGTAACTCTGAAAATTACGACTTATAGATAGTGAGAACCTAAGATAAATTAAATATTACATAAGATCAATAAAAAAGGATATTTTAAGCAGAAATGTCAGGTTTCTGAGAATTATATTATTTTCTATGCACTCAGTTCTTGGTTGGGTTCCTTTTGCATGAATTACTGGTTCAGTAGAGCCTTTAACACGATGAAGGCAACATTTGTAGCCCATGTTTCAGATTCATCCAAGCAAATGCTTCTTCCTACTCCCTCTTGGATATGTTATGTTGACATTACTCTTTTTGTTTTTGGACTATTCTCATTTTTAATTTGTTTTATTTATTCATTCATTTCTTTATGCTTGTTTCTGTCATTTTTCTCATGTCTGAAATAAATCTCCTCAAGGCTGCGGTTGCCTTTGTTGCTGGCGCACTTTTTCTTTCCACTCAACTTTCTATGAATATGTTTGGATACAGCACTCTGAGCAACCAGACTCTTCAGCAATGATCAGACGTACACTAAAGGAGTGCTACATTGTTCAATTTGAAACAAGACAATCTTTATTTCCTTATTTTAAAATGAATTACTCTTATTTGCACTTCAGTGTATTTTTAATATTGTAAAAGACAAAAAAATCTGCAGAATGTGCCACATTTTTATCTGACTACTTGATATCAGAATATTTGATTACTAAGAAAATTGTTAGTTGCTCCCCTAAATATTACACAATGTTGTAATTTTCTTATACACTGAATTTTGGGTTTTCATTCCTTGTGAGCCGTAGTAAAAAAAAAAAAATACAAGAAATAAAAACTTTATGTATTTTACTCTGTGTGGTGAATCTATAACACTATATAAGATTCACTTTGTGAAATGAGTGATGGATTTTTAACTTTTTCATGATGATATTCTTCTTGTTTCAGAAATCCAAAACATAAAAAAATATTTGCAGATTTGCCTCATTAAAAGAAAGGGACCCAGTTTTCAGATTTATTGTTAAACTAATGATTTAAAATTTAGATTTGTGCTTGAATGTTTAATGGTAAAATAACTGATGACCATAAGCAGCCTTCAGTGTTGTTTCCCTGCTTGTACTTAAAGAAAAAAAATGCTTTTCTGTGCAGGAGCTGCCCAAGTATCTCCGCGGTTACCACAAGTGTTCGAGGGAGGAGGTGCACCAGCTGGCGGCTCTGATATACAGGGTGAAGTTTGAAGAGGACAAATCCCATTTCCAGAATATTCCCAAGATTCTGAAGGACCTCGTCCCTCAGGACCAGATCCGACATCTGTCCCCAGACGACTGGAAGAGGGTGAGCAGAGCAGCAGAACCGAGTGAGACCAGGTTTACTTTCAGCAGCACAAAGAACGAAAAATAAATAAAATCTGGTTTCGTTAATGTGATTCAGATGCCTTTTTCTGAGACCTGGATTTAGTTTCTGTGTATTTTTTAACAAGCTCTAAATGTTCCAGATCATCAAACAAAGTTAACCTGCAGTAACAAAAAAAGTTGTTTTGAAATCGTTTCTTTCAAGGGAATAGTCCAATCAACAAGTTCACATAAGAAAATAACATTTCAAGCTATCTTCAGTAATGAAGCCGAACAAAATCCAGAGCTAACTCACTGCTGGATGCCTTCAAAAACAACAGGTTTTGGAGTGGCCTAGTCAAAGTCTGGACTAAAATCTGACTGGAATGCTGTAAAATCTTCCAATGTGAATTAAATAAAATAATTCTGGCCAAAATTCCTCCACAGTAATCTAAAAAACTTATTAATTTCTTCTGGGAAGCAGAACCAGATTAGGTACTATTTTTGTTATGTCCAACTTGGTTTAGAATGCTTTTATTCACTTTTTAAAACTTAATTTTATATTTATGCAGGTTGTCTTTGATAAGTCTTAGCTGAAAGAATTGAATTGATTTTTCTTTTATTTTTTAGTCAGTTGAAAGCAGAGATCCACAAACTAATGGATTTCTAGCATCCTTCCTAGTGAATGATGAGTTTGTGTGACTCACATTTTAGATTTTCTTCTCTCCTCAGTCCATCATGACGCTCTTTAACAAACAGTCGGGAAAAGCACCCGAAGACGCCAAACTCTCTTTCCTGAAGGTCATTTACAAATGGCCGACATTTGGCTCCGCCTTCTTTGAAGTCAAGGTGAAGATGCCAGAAAAGTAGTTGTAAACAAGACCAAAAGTAATATATTTTGATCCTTGCTACATGTAATGTTTTTGGTTTTCTGCAGCAAACAACAGATCCAAATTACCCAGAAACTCTCCTGATTGCCATCAATAAACACGGAGTCAGTCTGATTGATCCGAAGGCTAAGGTGAGGATTGATCTCACGGTTTTATCTTTACAACTTGATGAAGGTGTCATGTTAATCTGTGCTAATCCCTCATGCTGCAGGACATCCTGACCACTCATCCCTTCACCAAGATCTCCAACTGGAGCAGCGGCAACACGTACTTCCACATCACCATTGGGAACCTGGTGCGAGGCAGCAAGCTGCTCTGCGAAACGTCGCTGGTGAGCGTGTGAATTCACTTAGTAAGGACAGTTCTGACCGTCGGCATAGAAACATGACAGAAAGACATGCAGACAGACGCCATGCAGGTGATTCTCAGGTGTTGTCCGCTAGTCCTGCAGCTAATTACCTGTTGTCTCTCCAACAACTCCAGGGATACAAGATGGATGACCTTTTGACCTCTTACATCAGCCAGATGTTGACAACGATGACCAAGCAGCGAACATCCAGAGGAAACAGCAAGTGATCAGGCCACACTCCTGAACTAAAACCTACCTTTCATTTTTCTGTCCTGTCTTAAAAACCTCACCTTTTGCCTTTAAAATCACTCTTTCAGGACTTTTCTGTGTTGAACTGTTTTAGCTGTTTCTGGATTGATTAACAGCCTTGCAAAAAATATTCACACCCCAGGAAAATTAACACACTTTGTTATGTTACAACTACAAAGCTGAGTGTCTTTGTCTGCAGGACTTAATGTGACAGACCAACAAAGAGGGATGATGTGGAAATGCTTGTGCTGCAGCTTTTAATGCACCCCTGATCCAAACAGCTCAATCAATGAATGTAAGCAAGAGGTAATTCAGACTTTTCATTTAGAGGTGTAGAAGCAGAGGTGCATCCTAAAGTTGCAGGATCCAACCTTTTCTCTGCAGTCTGAATTCCCAATTTCGACTAAATGATAGTTTTCAAAGTGTCTGCAGTCTGAACGATCGTTTCGCTTTTTATTCAACATTTACGTCACTGATGTGAAACATGAGTCATAATTCTGCAGCAGAAGAGGCCAGACACAGTAAATCTGGATGTAAACAATGGCTGAAAAAATAATTCTGAAATTTATGAAAGAAGTTAGTCAGTGAATTGCATCACATCACAATCCCACCACTCTTACATACAAGCAGACTTCTCCACATAAGTTGTAGCCAGTTCTCTACAAAAGGCCATTGCTATTAGCTGTGCTTTCTTTTTATTATCTTCCTTCGTCTTTTCATGATCTTGTGATGAAGTCGGCTCCCATTGGTCAACAGATTTAAAATCGATCCGTAGACAGCAGTGGTCATTATTATTTCCGTAAACTGATCGACTGCTGAGTCACGTCTATGTTCTTCTGTACATTCAGGCCGTTTTGTGGTCGTAAACAGTTCACACAGAAGTCTGACTGCAGTCGCATGTAATTAGCAGCATGAACAACCACCAAATAAAATGGATTTCAGCAATAGAATTGACCCATACATTTTTAGATTTTAGCTTGTAAGACATTAGAAAACCATAATTTTACTTAAACCTCACAATTAAACACTGCTCTGTACTGGTCTGTCACACAAGTTTCCATTGAAATACATTGAAACCAGTTATTGTGACATGAAAAAGGTCTAAATTAATGTTAATCCTGCAACCTGAAATTGAAATGAAGCAATGAGGCCACATGTCACATGAGGCCATTTCTAACCTCTCTAGTAGGGTAAGCATTTTATTTTTCATTTACGCATTACTGCAATAAAATTAATTTTATTCTGGACGATGGAGCCCAAGACCAACTATTTTCCTTTTTTAGATTGTAAACATTAACTCCCAGTGAGTTTCTTCACATATGTGTTGAAGTTGAATTTTTACACCTTTAACTAATACAGTTTTAAATTTAGTTCTACAGTGAAAACCTGCGTCATGAAATCAAAAACAAAAATATTCATCTCCCACAAAAATGTCAATTAGACGACTTTTTCCAGTCATTTTATGTATTTAGCACAATTGTTTTTTAGATCATCTTTCCTCTCTGTTGGATAAAGTTTATATGTGGTTTTAGATTAAAGGAAATGTTATTTGTTCTGCAGGTGTGCCACTAAATTAAAACGCCATCTTTGTTTCATAAGGTTGGTTTTCAGAGCATCTGTCCCTAAAGGACACCACAGGAATCTGTTTCTAATCTTATGTTTAAATACAAATAATTTAATAATTTGAGTGTGAAGTCATCATGTCTCACTTTTCTGGACATCATCCATGTACAAAGTACTTTTATCAAGATATGTGACATAACTTTATGTAGCCATAAATAAATTACATTTTGCAAAGAAAGTTGGATTCATTTCTCATTTAAATATGGTTTCTTCACTTTTATCAAAAAGATCATTGAAGATTATAATTTAGAAAAACAGCAAAAACACAGAATGCTTTCAAGTATTTTGTCTATGTTCTAGTAAAAATATCTTAGTGCACTTTAAGATAAAATTAACTTACAGATAACTTCTCAGTAAGATATAGGAGCTCATTTTAAGTCAGTAATTTATTGATATTGATGAAAAAGTCCTAGTCCTTGAGCAGATCATTTCACTTATAAAATGAGAAAAATGTCTAGTTCTAAGTGAAATAATCTGCCAGTGGAACTGGTTCTTTATCAATATTGAATTTAAAAATCCTGAATAAATTTAAAATTGAGCCATAAACAGCTCCATCCATTATTACTAATTGAAACAGAACGCTGTGGTGTGATGTCAACATTCTTCTTGTCACATAGCAGGTTCAAACACGCAGCAAACTCATGAACAATGCAAACTCCAGGACACGCAGACACAAAAAAAAACAAATGCAACAGAAAAACACTGCAAAGAAAAAACATTGCAGCCACAGGAAATAGGAGCAAGGAGAAATGCCATGATTATAGTAAAAATAGCAAGTCTGAAAACTCGCTCTACAAGACTGAAGCGCTCCTGGCCACAAGGGGGAGTCGACCAACGAAGTCGCATGGAACAAGACCCTCAGTGAAGACCGTAGACATACTTATGTGTCTACAGTTACAGGAAGGAAGAAAAGGTGTGTCATATTTAACGACGTCGCTCAGAGCACAAAGCATAGAATTAGACTGAATAGATCTGCCCTTATACATTGTCACCAATCCCTGATCTAGATTTTTTTTTCCATATCAGGTTTGATACATATCATATCGGTCCATCACTAGTTTTGTGGAGCAACTGCAGCTTTTCATATTTAGACCATGTTTCATTTTCATTTGTTTCGTTGATTGTGGGTTTTTGTTTGTACACATTTACACCTGTTTGCTGCATGTTTGTACCTGTTGGCTACTTTATTTCCCAGACCGTTTTACCCATACATGAACCTCTGTGGCAATTTGAGACAGAACTCACCGCACAGAGATGATGCTTAGGCCTCAACATTCACCAATAAACACTAAGCTCCCAGATGGAGAAAAGGATACAGGCCTCCAAAAAGCTGTGCTGGTTGCTGGGAGACTGAAGGAGAACACACCGCTACATACCTGGTCTATTTATACCGGCACGTTTAGGTAGGAAGAGTCAGGACAGATTACCGGGCTTCAGCACAAGCATTTAAGGTTCTGGATAGAACAGTTTTGAAAAGGACTGTTGACCAAACTCTGCTTGTTTGGGTTCTTTAATAAAAAATACTTTGATGCCTACAACACAGAAAGAAATAGTTCTTTATGCTGCTGTTTAAAATCTAAAACATACACATCAGACTTCAGAGCTTCAATGTGATCAACTATCCATTCATTTTGGATTTTCTTCATACAGACTGCTTCTGTCAAGGTTTTGGCACAAAATGCTAAAAAAGTTTGAACTGGGCTCAACAAACAGGATGGTGCAGCACTGCTGAGACTGATGGTAGAGGAACAGAAACCTCCCATCCAAATAAGGAACTTCCACATGTGAAAAAAAGTTGGTATTTGTAGCATTATCTATCATAAAATAATCATTCTCATTAAAAATCTATCTTTAAGCAACTAAACCAGCTTCATTATTGTTTCCATCGGTAGGAACATGAATCCAGTCAGAAAGCCTGGCTGCTACAGATATAAATTGTTTATTGATGTTTTCTCAGACTAGTTTCTTATCAGTCACATTGTGAAGCAAAGCTAATGGCAGTTTATTATGGTGCAACTTTATCATTACTAAAGGGGCAGTATTACGTGTTTTCCAGGCACATAGTGCCATTTAATAGCGCAATCAAAGTAACTATGTTACCTTCAGTTGTTGTAAAAATGCTATATATATCAAATATGACTTAAAATACATTTTACTTTGTAATTTAACACCTTGAAATTGAGCCTCTGCCTTTTTAAGAAACTGCTTTTTCTGAAACTCTGCCTTCAGGAAGTCATCGCAACATGGCTCCTCTATTAACCCTTTAACAACATTTTTACCAGTGGTTCACTGAGAAGTAGCTCCTATAATGAGCTAAGCAGATACGCTGTTCCACTGGGTGTTTGCTAATTGTTGCTGGCTAGTCTGAAGGAACAGAATGGGGGCGTCGTGGGGAAGGGCTGCTCTGTGAAGCAGAAGCTTGAAACCTTGAAAACTGCAACTCCAAGGAGGAGCTGCGTCTTGAAGGCGGGGCTAGGTTCAACCAGGCATTTTGCACAGCTGGATGGTTTCCATGGAGATTGACGATTTCTCAAGCATGCAGGAAATAACCAAGGCAACACTCCATGTATGATTTTGATGAGGGAATAACATTATAACATGATGGAAAGCTCAAAAAAGTTGATTTTTACATAATACTGCCCCTTTAAAGTAAAAACCACTAATGGAATTTAACCTGAGAATATTTGATGTTTGAGTAGAAAGTTTGGCGTTTTCTTCTGGCATTGACGTGATTTGGTTGCAGTATGACAGAAACCTGGCAGTGTCAGAGGTTGCCAGATCAGCTCTGCCTAGAGGGCTCCATCACGGTTGCCAGGTTGAGCATCTTCTCTGTTTGACAGTTTGAGCTGGAGACTGACCAGATGTCGCCCATATCTATGAAATGATCAGAGAGAGAAATTATCATTAATACTTGAGATGGAGCATTACTCTGCAGAAAAATCACGGTCTTATTGAAAGATGCAGACAAGCAATGCTGCAAGAAAGTGTCTAAAAAACCAGTAGAAGTTTCTGACTCCAAGTGGAGTTTTGTATTCGTTACTGATCCAAAAATACTCACCTAATATTTGTGCACACAGTAGTTAATAATAATACACAATGCCGATAGCTGAGTTGTACTTTTAGGTCACCTGGTTTGTTTTGCCTGCAGCTGCCGTTATCCTGCTTCACTTCTCGGTCCGAGCAGAAAGCGAGTTTTTGTTCCCGCCATCTGCCGTTGAAAAAATAAATAAATAAATTATCTGCATTCCTGTTCAATTTCTGTCTCATAATGATGCAGACAGGTAAAAAACAAGTGTTGGTTCACCTGTGAAAGTAGAAGATGATGACAACCAACATGAAGGAGAGGACGTCGGTGAGAATCCACATCAGGTTGTATTCTTCTGGACTCTGACACACACAAGCAGAAGTGTTGAATTAAATGTTTGAATTGTTTTTTTCACAGGAGAA